CCAACTACCCTGAAATATACAGTTTAAAATTGCAATTTTAAAAGAAAAAATATCATAGATAAAAGATTTAAGTGGAATAGTATGTACGTTTCCTTGTTGTAAAAAACGATTATATTCACCATTTGACAAATCAGGATTGAGTAAAGATGGGGAATCCAGTTTATCCACCATTACAATACTTTATTCATAATGACATTTTTTTTTTTTCTGATTTGGGAAAGACAGCAGGCAGCAATTCTTTTGTTTTTCAAGCAAATCTAATACATTTTTAGAACTGTGATTTTAATAATAACAACCCAATTAAACATATACCCCGCCTCACATGTAGCATAGTATTCAGGTTAGTAAGAATACATGAAGTTAGCATTGTGCCTCTAAATAAATGCTGTTTTGTTTAGAGGGCCTTTATTCAGCCTGAAAGATTTCCAGAATCAGCTGGTTTTAATTCTTAGGACATTCAGATAGAGGTATGATAGTACAACATGTACCCAAACACACCAATATTAAACAATACATGTGACGTTCAATTACTAGAAATGATGTGATGGAACCAAACAGTAGTCGTAACATATGGGTCAAAGGTAAAACTGGCTGTAACTATCACAAAAAAGGTTTATTGTAGAATTTGGATTATTATAGCTCCAAGAGAACAAATCAAGATTTCAATCATGAAGGCGCGATTGAACATGAATCACCTGAAAATTGTGAATGAAGTGACGAATAATTATTTTTTAAATGTAGCATTTAGCATTATGTAAGAAATGTCGATGGCACTTTGAATGGCTAAAATACATTAAGAAATACATAGACTCAGTATTTTTGGCCTATTGGCCTGCAATCAAAGATATTTCGAATGTATTATATTAACATATTGTCAGATAAAATGGTTGACGCTTAGCCTAAGAATGTTTATTTTCAGTAATTTCCTATCTTGTGTTTCTTATCAATGGAAACACATTCATAGCATTTCCATTTGCAGTCCATTTATTATGACAATTTTCTTTTAAAATGTCAACTACCTTTTAACTAATAACAGAGTGTTGTATTGCTTTACAGAGCCCTGTTTAGATGTGGATTAATAAAGACACTTCAATAAACATAATACTGTATTTTGATCACTGTACAGGATTAGAAGTAGTTTTCAATCGTCAATCATTGCAGGAACCACTGGTCACGGACATAGACTGTATATATAAAGGTCACGGATCACGTTTTAAACAGAAGAAGCTGTGGTTGGATGTTAAATGGTCTCAACATAAGGATCCAATTTGTTGTTCTGTGTGTTCTTGTGTTTTCAGCATGACTCAGCTTTTACCCTCTCTCTGTGCTCTCTGTACTATAATTTGATGTGCAGGCCTTCACACAGATAACTGACTTATCTTATTGAATTCCAGTAGGTCTATCAATTTTCCAATGCAACATTTTATTTTGTCAAAAATATTCTCAACATATTGAGGTCGTCCAATCAATTCCAACTTTCCTTTTTTATTATTGTTGTGTTGTTGCTAGTATGTGGACAAAATGGGAGAAATAAAGAAAAGTAGGTATTAACATATACGCTTTAAAGGTGGGATAGGTGATTTTGGAGAAACCAGCTCGAGTGCGCTGGAATTTGAAAATACACAACCGGAAAACATCTGCCACTTCCTTACAGAGCCCCTCCTCCAACACACACGAACGCGCACGTGACCAATGAGGGCACGAGATAAGTTTGTGCACAGATGGAAGGCTGACAGGCAGGTACATAGATATATATATCTATGGGCAGGTAGGCCATCAAGTTATTTTAGCCGGGCCGGCTAAAATGATTGGTCGTGCTTTTTACAGTAGCCTACTACGGCTTCCACAGATGACATTTTTTTATGGATTTTTTGTCAAAGCACTTAAGATATTCATTGCTATCGGGATGTTAAGAGCATTCCATGGAATATAACAAAAAGTGTATCTCGAGCCGGTTTCTCAAACTTACCTACCCTACCTTTAAGACAAAAACACCCTCAGGCTGTTTGTCACTCAGGCAGGTTTATAGTCCTCCATCCATTTGACCAGCAGGCAGCTCCTATACAGTAGATGTGCTGGGGGTGGGGCCTTGGGAAAAACACATGCCATGATGTAACAGGAACAAGGCAGTATTTAAGGAGGCGGCTCTTGTGTGCACACTACTGCTTGTTTCACGGTTTCATTTGGCTATTGTCACTTGGAGAGGCATTTCACCAGGGATTTCACCAGGGATTCCAACTTTCTCAATTCAAATCAAGGTAAAATATATTTCCTGACCAAATATGTTGTTCTTAATACTGTTCCCCCTGCTTTTGTTTTCTATTTGACCTCATTTGTGTTTGTTTTTTTCTCCAGGATTTGGAGTATGATTTTAAGGCTCAACACTTCTGAAAAATCTTCTATGGAAAAACAAGGAAACCTATTTAAAGCTGGGACAACGTTTAGCCAGAGAGACACCTTTAGAGAATCCTGATCTCTAATGTCCAAACAGCTCCATTAAAGGTAAGAGACATCCAAATTGAGAGTGGAAAATTAGGTGTACTATATTTTTAGCTCATGTGAGGTCAGCATGTTGTCTGCACAGAATGTACTGAACAGCTTTCTTTCCTTTAACATCAATAACTGCTCAACTTTAGCTATTGTTTTGCTTAATGGAGCTGTAACAAGCCAGCTGAGGGCATTCCTTCACTAAATAATAATTTGAATGGAATGTGTTTCTCTTCTCCTTGTCCTATCAGCATTAATACAGTAGGTCCCTCTTCATATTGATTGCAATAATTCTGGGAAATGGTTGGATTTGGACCCGCAGATGTGCCTCCATCGGCAGCTGTGAAGTTTGTGGGAGCAGGAACTGCAGGATGCTTCGCTGACCTGCTCACCTTCCCCCTGGACACAGCCAAAGTGCGGCTGCAGGTAAGCTTCTTTTCTTCCCATCAACACGTGAAATTCTCATAATGCGTGTGAGTTTGCAAATATTGTATGCAAAAGTCCCTTATTGTTTCTTCTTAATACAGATACAAGGGGAGGCCTCAGCAGGGAAGGAGTCTGCAGTGAGGTATCGGGGGGTGTTTGGCACCATCACCACCATGGTGCGTACAGAGGGGCCCCGGAGCCTTTACAGTGGACTGGTGGCAGGACTCCAGAGGCAGATGAGCTTCGCCTCTGTCCGCATTGGTCTCTACGACTCTGTTAAACAGTTCTACACTAAAGGCTCTGATCGTGAGTATCTATGAACATATTTATCTAGTTAATACATTCCTGCAACAATCAGGCCTGACCCCTATCTCCCCTCTCCAGATGTAGGTATCGGCAGTCGGCTGCTGGCAGGATGTACCACTGGTGCCATGGCGGTTGCTTTAGCTCAGCCTACAGATGTGGTGAAGGTTCGCTTCCAGGCTCAGGCCAGGTCTGCTGGGCAGGCCAGGCGCTACTGTGGCACCATTGATGCTTACAAGACCATTGCTAAGGAAGAAGGCATTCGTGGTCTGTGGAAAGGTACAGTAGCTTGAATTTACAGATAAAATATGTAAGAAATCTGCATCGAATTGTACAAAAAGGACTAGACTTGTGTTGCCTATTTTTTTTTTAGATGTGTTATTTTATTACCTTGAATTATTATTTTTTAATATTTAAAGTAACAGCGCGCTTTATTCTCATTCTCTGCATTGGCTACTACTCCATCTCTGCCAACATCTGTTATATTTTGACTTTTTTTCAGTTTAAAGCCTGAATTTTGGTGCTTTAAAAAAAAAATCCTGATCATTCCTACTATTTTGAAGGATTTGAATTAGTTATCAGAAAAACAACCTGAGCAAAGGTTAACGGTTGGGTCGCAGAACCTCCTAAATCTGATGAACTTAGTGGAGGAAAGAGTGATTTTTAAGGTGAGACTCTTGTATTCAGTGTATATTACTGATTCAATCATCGGGTCCTTTTGTTTTGGAGCTAAGGAAACCTCTAAGGTAAATGTGTCTCCTGATAAAAAAACTCCTTGACAATGAACAATGAAAGAATTCTAACAGACAGAAACTGACTGCAATGAAGTCTATTTGTAAAACAACTATCAATGATCCCACACTACTTCACAACGTCACTGACACCTTTTTCTTTTAAATCATGAGACCCCTATTAGCATTGTGCCTTTTTAAAAGGATAATTTTAAACCATGACCTTTTGTCTCTGACGATAAATCTTGTCTATTCTCTCACACAGGTACAGCTCCAAACATTGCTCGAAATGCAATTGTGAACTGCACTGAACTGGTGACGTACGATTACATCAAGGACACACTCCTTAAGTCCACTCCGCTCACAGGTTAAACAAAGACTGCAGTACACCCTGGCGTACAACATAATGCCCCATTGTTCGTCTGTATGGAGAGGTAACGCTCAGTCTTCTCTTCTCCTCAGATAATCTGCCCTGCCACTTTGTATCGGCCTTCGGAGCAGGACTGTGCACAACAGTGATTGCCTCTCCAGTTGATGTGGTCAAAACAAGATATATGAACTCTCCACCCGGCCACTACAACAGCGTCCTCAAGTGTGCTGCTGCCATGATGAACAAAGAGGGACCACGTGCTTTTTATAAGGGGTATGCTTTGATTGCGAGGTCAATATTGAGAGGATTAATGAGGATCTAAATCAAGCATTTATGAAGGAAGGAGGAAAGAAAAGTGGTTGTTAACTGAACAGCTATTCTTATTGCAATCAATAATGTTGTTTTTCTTTTTTCTCTTGAGGTTCATGCCATCTTTCTTACGCCTTGGCTCCTGGAACGTGGTGATGTTTGTGACGTACGAGCAGCTGAAGCGAGCCATGATGGCAGCGAATCACAACTACACCACTCGAGTGTAACCGTTATTGTCCGTCAGATGTTGTAGCACAGCTGTGTTGTCTACACATTTTTTTACTTTTTGTTGCCTCCAAGTGCATATTTCAACCTGAAGTGTTGTACAAATGAAGATACTTATACTTGATACTTCTCTCTCTTATGACCACTTTTATCAGACACAGCATAGCAACACATGTACTAGAATAGGATCAGTCTTTCAAAGTTAGAGCTTGTCTGATCAGGTGCTTCCTCTCGGCGGAGAGCTTCTCAGGAAACTGGATTTCAAAAGTAATGATGAGGTTCCCTCTCTGAGAAGGATCCTGGGACCGAGGCATTCCCTCTCCACTCACCACTTTGTTGTACGAAGGGCTGATATGTATGAAATAAAATCAGAGAAAGGAAGATGGTTATTTATGCACATGACGCACAAACCAGAAACATATCCTTCAAAAACCTCTCTGTTTGAGTTTATATAAAGTGCTTGAATTTCTTACAATCATCTTCCCTGTGTTCATTCATTCAGCCATCAATATGATAACAAAATACAGACTGATGAATGTTATTTAGTGCTACTTACTGTACAATGTCATTGATGGGAATAGTAATTAGCCTGCTGTCTAGAGTCTCCACATCCACAGAGAACCCAGTTAAGGCCTGTGGGAAAAGGTCCGGTGTTTATTTTACTTAATCTTAAGTATGACTCATGCTGAAAATGATTATGTACATGACTCACCATCTCCAGGGTGATCTGGGCCTTGTAGATGAGGTCATTGTGTTGTCTCACAAACAGAAGATGGCTCTTCTGTCGCACTATGAACACGATATCAGCAGGGATGCTGTTTGGTCCCTAAGGGTAAAATACAGCAAACTGATTACCATGCATATCAGGCTCTTTCCCTAAAATACAGTTACTATCTGTTACACAAAAGGTTTTTACACATAATTTATTTGGACCAAATGTAATCAAATCATATCTAGCAAAACAGAAAAGGTGAGGCAGAGTAAGAGCAAGAATAAGTCCCCGTATTATGTGGCTTTTATTATATGCAAAGAGATCAATGACGCCACCTACTGGCGGCAATGAAACAGATCTAGTGGATATCATAACCCTATACAACTGAGTTATTATGCACTCTAAATTTTGCCCATTCATATTTAACCATAACTGCCACTGTTAACTTCCCATGATTCAAAGCTGTCAGTCACACATTCTGTGGTCAACAGCTTGAGCAAGTTTCCATTCATCAGTATCATCTTAAACACATATTCATCAAACATAATGTCAATAAGCATCCAAACTTTCTAGAAGAATACACTATAAAGCAAACGAATAATGCTTTTATGTTTGATCTATATATCCCAATCAGTTACAAACATATACTTATCTCACTATTCTTTATTCTTATCATATTCAAATACACAGTTTCACTAAGTGGCACAAATAAGGTTACTGCAAAAATGTGTGAGAGTCTCACACATTTTTGCAGTAACCTTATTTGTGCCATATTAGTAAATAACGTGTACGCAAAACTGAGAAAAAGGGGTTCGTTTGGGAAGGGGGTTTCATCAGGGTCTCACAGTGAGACCCTGATGAAACCCCCTTCCCAAACGAACCCCTTTTTCTCAGTTTTGCGTACACGTTATTTACTTTTCATATAAAATGATACATGTTGGTGCAGTGGTCACTTGCAGGGCTTTCCTCTAAAGCCTGCCGCACACCAAAAGCTATGTAATGAAGTTGCAATACCTCGTAAATCAGCGTTGACAGTGTCACAAGCAAACACATGATCGAAACACATATTGTGAAAAAACATTTGAATAAGGAAAAGACATACTGAATGGCTTTTCAGTGACCATCATTACAACTGTATTCGTGTCAATGCGTGTATTGTTATATTACCTGATCTCCTTCTTTAGCAAAAATTATCCTCATGCCTTCTTTCCATCCAGGCCTCACATCAATAGTGAGGATCTTGTCTTTGATACTGGAAGTGCATCCATCTTCATTCATAACCTGTTAAACAAATGAATAGAACATTCATTTATATTTGAAATAGCTGTGGAATGACAATAGATAGTCTCTCACGCACAGAAGCTCTTACCCTGCGAGATATCTTTATCTTTTTTGTGCAGCCGTGGTAGAGGTCATCCAGGGACAGATGCATGTCTCTCTCTATGTGAGAGTCTTGTGTCTTCACCACTACAGATCGCAGGCCGCCAAACTGAAGTGGTTCATCGTTTGTAAAGAAGTCTAACGAAAGAAGTGTAATGTAATTGGTATGATATTTGAATAAGAACATTCACCATATGGTCTGATTTTCTCACCTGCAAATGGGTTGTCGCCTCCAAAAAACTCCCTGAAGGTTTTGCCTGGGTTCCCATGGTAGGCATATTTAGATGACCAAGCCCCGCTGCAGCCAAACTCAGGTGGGATGCCCCCTTTGAGACCCTCCTCACCAAACTTGTCATAGGTTGCCTTTTTCCGAGCTGTCACAGACAACATCTTTATTTCCATAGACACACACTGCAGCACATATTGGTTAAAATATGGTAACTTTATAAAAGGTTTTATAAAGGTTTACAAAAGCACTTCATTATAGGGATTTGTGTAGCATTACAAAAGTGAAGCTATTGAATATTTTACACAATAAAAAATCTCCAAAATGATTCAAATTGGTATTTCTTGACAATAAGTTTTGAAGTATAACCAGTAGGAATATTAAAGTGTGAAGTGACATTGTTAGCACCACACTATATAGCCTAAAAGTAAAGATTACCAGATATATTCACCTTTTTTTTCTTAATGGTTAGTGTAGTCTCAGTCTGTAGTGTAACAAACATACCATAAATGTGTTGGTTTATATTTGAACTTTACTTACGGTCGCTCAGCACATCGTAGGCTTCACCCAGCTGAAGGAACGTCTCACTGCTTCCTTTGTCTCTGTTTCTGCTCGGATGAAACTTCAATGCCAGTCCTCGATATCTAGTAATAAAAAAAGCAAAACGTTGACAATAAACACATACAACTTCAATTGTTAACGTCTGTAAAGCAACTTCCGGAAACAAAAACTTACGCCTTCTTTATATCTGCATCTGTTGCATTTCTGTTTATTTCCAGAGTCTCGTAGTAGTCGCTACCCATTATGGAATTCAACACTTTGAATTAAGTATAAAAGAATCAAAGGACAGCTCAATATGCAGCGTTGGTGTTAAAAAACAAAGGTTTGATATAATAAATACTCAGTGCAGCGGTTGTTTCGCTTGGTTTCCAGGGTAACAGATTCCCGGTAAACTCTCGCGTGACTTGCAAAAACAGGCTCAGCCAATCACGAACAAGGATCCGCTGCACACGTTGTTCAATCTGAGAAACTGACAACATTTGAATGTGTTCATGTAAGAAAAAGCATCATAAAGTTCTAATTTGGTGTCTTTTTGTAGGATGTTGTAAAACAGAAGTATAGTTATTACTTTCAGCGTCTCAGTTGCCTGTAAGCTTAAGCATTAAAACGGCTATACAAATACATTTTATTTGATTTAATTCCTTTTATTTGTTTTGTGATGACCAATGATCAGGATTAATCTATTTTTTGGGTTTCGTAGGTGTATAATTCACCCCATTAGAGACAGTTAAATTAATTTTATTCTGGAAAATGTCAGCCTTACAACTACCACTTTGACACAGGATCCCTCCAAAACACAAGACAATTGAGGCTAAATTCTACTTCATATTTAAATTTCCTAATTCTAATTGAAATTGGTAGTTTATCAGATTATGTGAAACTAAAGTTGGGGCCCAATATAGCATGCTTTGCAATCTAGTGAACAACAGGTGGCTATATATGGCCTCATACATCCCTAAATGAAATAGCCTCCCCATGATTACGTTTGTCAAACCACACATTTAGGCATGAAAAACAGCAGCATTGTGTTTGATGGAGCAGTTATTAAGTTATTATGTTGTTGAATGATAATGCTGGCTCAGTGGCATGGCATACTTTGGAGTCGTAGCCATTTGCTCCACATGGGCTTTTCCTGCCAGGTCAAAATGTCTCCTGTGAAATAAGCCTATTAGTGCACATTAGTCCAGGTCCAGCATTCTGCTCCTGCAGGACAGCTTATTACTGTCAGGCCTTCAGTTCTCATGAGGGAGCAACACTGTTCAGGCCTTGCTCTTAATAACAGACTCTGCTGTTCTGTTCCTGCACTTAACACTTTGCTGCCACTGCCGACGATCTGCAGATCAACAATACTTTTATCTTTGATTTGTAATTTAGATTAGAGCTGTCAGATCAGGTTCAAACAATTATCACAGCCACAATTATTTCATGGCACAAAACCGCCATTGGCAAGTTATCTGTTACTATAAGGTACTATAAAAATGCATATTGTGTTCATTTTGTCTTTGTGCAATTTGTTTCTTTTCCTGTAAATATTTGTAATATGTGTGGGGCATTAGAGTAGGGAGAACACTATATTTTATTATTACTATTTTAATTACCAGCTTAATGCCTAATTCAAGTGTAAAAAATGGTTCAAGGAAAATATGAAAGCTTGGACATTGAAGAATTCCAGCCACATTGACAAGTGTATTTTTTATTCTTTCATTTCAAATCATTCCAGACACAAACGTTAAGGACTACTTTGCTATATATACCACTCTCCTCCATAAGTCCACACAAAAATTGCACTGTATTATCAGTAAGATCAAATTGCCATCTAGCTCTCTGCTGATTCAGTTAAAGGTGTTTCAGACGGATGCATAATTCATTAGTGATTCACCAGAAGTGTAGATATTAACAGCCATAAAAAAAAAAGAAACATGAATCCAATACAAATAAATAAAGTCATTGTGGATTAAATACACATGTAGAATAATCACTAACAAAAGATCAATGCCAACAGAATAAAAACAAAAACAAAAAAGTATTTAAAGTGTTACCAAACTAGTTTAACCCAAAACCAAGGAAGCCCTCTACAATTAAACTCCAAAAGGCATATATATCTAAATGTTTACAGTGGGTTTTCATGATTATGACTCTTATAATATATGAGAAAATACTTCTCAAGCACTATCTTTAAAGCAGTAGTTTTAATCTATGATAGCTGTAGTCTTTAGAAAAAATAATTAGAGATCTATTCAAATAAAAAGGTAATAGAAAATGGAAGCCAAGGTAAAAATAATCTCAAGGGACAAGTGTGGGAAGAGAGGAAGGACGGTAATGGGGATGACGTAGTTATAGTGTTGCTCTTTTAGTTAGTGTGTTTGTGCTGGTGTGTGACCGTGTCCAGACATTTAAACAACAAAAAGAACAGTGTTATTGTTGTGCTTATTAAACGTAAAGCAATATTTAAAAATGTTGAACAATATTCTCAATCTTGATCACATACTTTAATGCATAAACACACGTGTTCCTTCTTTCAGTTTGGTTCAAAGGGTCATCTTTAGACACTCATTACTCTTAAGCCCCCATCTCGGTCTGTTTGAAATGACAGGCAACAGCTGTGGCTACCGTTTCAACATGTGTGTTACAGTGCAAATATTCAATTTAAGAGATTTATGACTTTCAGAGCATCCACATCAAAAAGCAGCTTTCCACAGAGCGGAGGAGTAGCGGCTGTAGTGTTCTCTCTTAGGCTGGGGAACAGGCGGTGCAGTTTAGGGTACAGACACACAAATTATTGAAAAAAAAAGCAGGTAAGAGAAATATTTAGCTTTATGTCATTATGACATAAGCCGGCATTAGCAGGAACAGCCTCCTTCGCTGGCCGGTAGCTCCGGTTGCTCCTTTAGTTTAATGTCAATCACTGAAGGGTTTAGGAGTTAGGGAACGTCACAGAACTGGAATAAAACAACTGGAAAATGTTCACAAAGGGATGTTACGAACAAACTAAACTCCACAACTGCTGTCCATGCTTAAGTTATTGTTTAAAATGTGTTATATATAAAAAATGTTATATAATTTGTTTTCTACTGCAGGACATGCCAGGCTTGAATAAGTTAAATATTTTTTCCACACAAACCAAACAGCCACTGTGCGAGCTCAGTTTTAGGGAAGATTCAAATCAGATTCCATTCTAGAGAAAATAAATCATGTTTGATGTTCCTCTCATGTGACATTTAACCCCACAGGGAGTTAGGGCTATAATTAAGGTAGTTTATCTTTTTAACATTGAAAGCTTCTATACCTATTATTTTCTAAACGAACCAATTTTCTTTATAATTATAACTTTTAGAATTCATGGAAAAGCAGATTATTTCGTAAAAACCTGGGGTAAACTTTGGAAATGATCACATCGGTATCTTCAAAAAATGTTGACCGTTGGAAATTCACAATGCTCGAGTTATTGGAAATGTTTGGAACGCACGAGTAAGAAACAATACTACAAAGTCAGTACCAGAATCAAAATCGACAACTAATATTAGTCTGTATCTGTAACTGTGCAGGGATACCAGGTAAGAAGATTGAATAAACGGAAGAGAAGCACTTCACAAGCTGCACAGCATTCAAATGTGGATTTGGAATTTGAATGTCAAAGGATGCTGAGCAAACTATGTGGTACAGTCCTAACTGCAGCCGTGAGTATTTCTCTCTGTTGGAGCACAATACGTGTCCTCACTGGTAAAATAAATCAAAAAGAGACACAAAGGTTAAACAACATCTGTCTGTCACAGTGCTGCGCTACATTCTCCCTCTGGCAGGGGCTATCCATATGACACAACATTAGAGACCCTCTGACACCGACACGTACACAAAGGATACTCTCCTCTCGGCTCTTGTCCTGTGTGGTGTCCATGCCGGGGAGGGCGGCTGCCACGCGACGGAAGAGCTGCAGGGAGAGACAACCAGATGTGTTCTGTCAGAGCAGGAAGTATACTCACATCAGGACAAACGCACAAGATGAAGGAAAGATAGCGCATTCCCATTACATGATTTAGCTTGAAGCTCGCACAGAGGAAGACGGCCACCAGAGCTTTCACCAAATTAGATTTTTGATTTAGCAGCAAACTGCAAGGCTACATTTCTGTGGATTGGTGCCTTACTTTAACATTCATTGATGGAGCTCCGTACATTTAAAGTGATTCATGAGTTTTAAAAAGGGACCCCCGCATCATCAAGAGCATCACATAGAACTACACTTCATACACATGCAATTCAAATACTGCTAATGAGCGTTTTGGTTTGCAGACCCCGACCCACCTGCACGATCAAAGGTTTGCCAATCAAAAATAATGACTTCTTTCAGGTGGGAAAGAGCTTAAAAAACGAATCCACACACCTCACTTTCAACCAGAGCAAGCCGAAATTTAAAGCACACCTTAATGCACGCATGGGTGTGTGAAACAGAAGCCAACCAGAAGAGAGAATGAGCACTATGAGCCCACACACACACGAGAAGGTGCACACGCTCTACCTGCTTGGCATTGTAGCCTGTCTTTGCACTTGTTTCAATAAACAGAACATTCATCTCTTTCGCTCTCTGCTCTCCCTCCTCTGTGGTTATCTGTCTGCGATGAGTCACAACACGCACACACACACACAGGGGACACATGCACACATATCGCCACAGACAACGACACAAAAACACAAGGGGAAAGAAAATACACAGTGTGAATAGGTTGCAGTGGAATAACAAGTCGTGCCCCTTCCTGATGCTGCTGCCACCTGGGATCTAGACCAAAAGACGGCTAGTAGAACTTCAGCTGGAAAAAAAGGGTGTGAAGGATTCAGCTGGTACGTTTTAGAAATGCCAATGTGAGGATGTCTCAATCAATCCAGAATAACTCTTTATAGATATTAGATTTAAAAACCAACCCTGCCTGAAGCTCTGACCTTGATTTGGTCTGGCGATCTTTAGTTGTGGAGCGCAGGCAGCAGCTTCTGCATCAGGAGCACAGAGCACGACTCACACACACTCTCACCTGTTTTACGTTGTAGCCCGCTTTCGCACTAGTCTCAATAAACATTACATTTAGTTCTTTGGCTTTCCGCTCACCCTCTTCAATAGATACTTGCCTGCGGTAGATAAAGGGGGTTAGGAGATGCAGAGAAAACATGGCACAGCTGACTTCATTAATCAGGTGGATTGAGAAGATCACTGCACAGGGTCTTTCAGATCAAATAATATCAAACATCACAGCAGACAACTATCAATTTCTTTATGAGGTTGATTTGTTAAATAATCAATATCTTCAAACAATGTAGGTTGAAACAAAGTGTAAAAAAAGTCAATGGGGGCTTTGACATCCACGAAGGGCAGAGATAACCTGCTCTGCCTGAGTATCGACAGCCAGCAGCACCGATCAATGACTTCATTAGTATGCTCTAAATGGAGAGGAGCCACTTACAGAGGCAGGAGGAAGGAAGAGCAGATTACCTTTTGTCTGCAAGGTCTGTCTTGTTTCCCACCAACATGATAATGACATCACTTCCTCTCTCCGTCCTCACATCATCAATCCATTTTGTGGTTTGCTGGAAGGAGTTGACGTCTGAAAGAAAGTGGGGGGAGGAAAAGACAGCGGGGCGTCAGTATTCAGGGGATGTAAGCTGTGAGAACGGTTTGTGACGGGAAGGAAGTGGAATTACATGTCCTGCACATCTTCACCAAGTCTGATGTCTATTATTTGAATTAAAGGACTGTAATGTGTTAAAGGTCACCTATTATTGCAAAATCCACTTGTTCATGTCTTTTCTACATAAACATGAGTCCCCTCTGTGTAAAGAGATTCTGAAAGTTTCAGGAAAAAAGATTCGCTCACTTTTTGTCCTGATCCATTTATATAAAAACCTGTCTGAAAATGAGCTGATCAGATTTAGGCCACTTTATGATGTCATAACGTTTTTTTGGCTTGTGCAACCATTAGCCAATCACCAACCAAGGTAACACCTGCCCACCTTATCACCTGAATCTCCTCCTAGAGCACCATTGTGTTCTTTTTAACCAAATATCTGTCAGAGGGGCGTGGGGAGGGGCTCCTTATTTTCATCTAAAGTAACAGACAGAGAATCAGCACTTTTGAAACAGGGCTGAAACAGAGGGGATTATGGGATGCTACAATGCATGATCTGTTTGGTATTTGGAGCCAAACACTTCAGAGACATGTTTTGTATATATCTGAGACCTATAATATATTGATGAAAAACAGTATAATAGGGGACCTTTAAATAAGACAGAGTATGAGGTTAATGTGGCATGTTTATATAACGTGCACACAGGTAATCCACGTACTTGTGATGTCGTACACTACGACTGCAGCAGCTGAGTCTCTGATGTAACTTGGGATCAGGCTACGAAACCTCTCCTGCCCCGCCGTGTCCCACAACTGCAACCTGATCTGGGGGGGGGGGCAGGAAGGGGATGAGGGAGAAACAGAAGAAGAGAAAAACAAAGAAACAAAACAAAAACGGATGAAAATAAAACGAGACAAAACCGATGTCAGAAATAAGGTACGTTATGGTGACAAAAAGCACATAGAAAGAAAACTGAATGAAGTCAGATGGATGAGAAAACGTTCAGAGAGAGTGTAGTGCATGCAGGAAGTGACCGACAGAGTTAGCAAGCTGTCTGGGCCCGGTGTGGGGGGGGGGGGGATAAATAAATAATCAGCCTTCACTTGTCATCAACCCTCCTCCTTTGATCAAGTAAGGTGTTCGATATCAAAACAGGAATGAGGAGAATAGATGGAGGGGTAGGAAGGAGAGGAAGAAACTTGTGTTGAGGGGAGAAACAAACAAAGGAAGGGAGGACAGTCCGAGTGTGTGTGTGTGTGTGTGTGTGTGTGTGTGTGTGTGTGTGTGTGTGTGTGTGTGTGTGGGGGGGGGGGGGGGTGCACTTGGAAGGCAAAAAAGCTGTGTGTGCTTGTTAGAAACAACCAAACTAAACTACTACAAAAAAACTAAAAATGGTGTCTGAAATAAATAGTTAAGTAGAATAGCAACAAACACTAGTTGTCAAAAATGTTTTACTCACTGTTCGGTCTTCAAGGTACATGGTTTTCGACAGGAAATCTATTCCTATTGTGGCCTGAAAATGAATGACAAGTAGTAAATAAACAAGCATAACCTTCTTCAACTCATCAATGTCTGATGAATGAACTTTTCATGAGTGATGAAATCAGGTGGAGGTGTTGGTCTCACTTGGTAAGTGTTGTCGAAGCTGTCATACATGAACCTGGTGATCAGAGAAGTCTTTCCCACTGAAAAACAAACAGAAACAAAGTAAATGCCCTAATTACACTTTTATTTTGTAGCTTAAACAGTTCTTATTTGGAATGGCTAAAATGTGTGGCTATAGCAAGTAGGGCTACGAGTCTTTGACTAACTGACTAATTATCCATCTATCCATTATCTTCTATTTTTTAGAGCCCAATGCGAGATCTTGAAATTACTCTACTTATATGCGAAACATTCCAAAACAAATGTAGTCATTTATAATGATACAAAACACAGAAAATAATTATTCTCACATTTGAAATGCTGCAATTTCTTGCTTGACAATGATCAAACAAATAACCAAAATGATTGCAGAACACTTTTCTGATAATTGACTTGACCAACTATTCATTTAGTTCTTGTTGAAAATAAACAACATTGAAGACCAAAACAGAAACCCTAAATGATAATAACTTTAGGGAAAGAAGGCCAGTTTCAAATAATAATAATAATAATAAAGGAGGGGGGGGTTAAGTGAAAAGTATATAGCGTGAGCCTCTCTCATTATGTAAGGTGCGGCCTGATGTTCAACTTTGCTGACAATTTGAAATGTAAGAAAATATCATAAATAAATGAGGGATTATAATTGACTGGCGGGTAACAGAGTTGAAATAAGAACTAACATCAAGTTGTTGTGTGCAGTCCATGAGCCACAGATGAAGAACCCTCTAACTGGACTGAAGCTGAGAGCAGCATGACATGAGACTCCTGCTGCCCTCTTAGGGATCTGGTCCATTATTAAAGGGTGTGGTGCACAGCCCTTTGTAGGAGACATTTAGGGTTGAGGAATGTTGAGAGACTAGTAGGGTTGGGAAACCTGGCTCCCCATTTATTACGTTTCTAAAAAAGGTTTTGCCTAGCTCTTTAAGGCCTGAACTGATTGAGGTAGTTAGGTACTCCAAGTATATGCTTACTCTTCCACCTTCTCTAAACATGGCCCCGTTTCATAACATTTACTTCAACCTTGCTGATTTTCACCTGTAAAACTTTACTTTTACAACATTACAGAGAAATAGACACTCGTACTGTTGCTATGAGCGCCCACATTCAGCTCCCCAGCCTCAGACTGTTTTGCTGAGCTAGAGTTACACTATCTGTTACACTGCACCTTAAGTGATGATGACATGGCCAAAGCCAACACTGCTGTGTACAAGGAACAACAGCTGATCACACAACGTCTGACAAACACCAAGTCTGTTTTATCTTGATGAAAGGGGAGAGTAATAAACCAGGCGACAAAACCTAGAGTAATAATCCCTGAAGAAATACTTAACGTTTCTACACTTTGAACATACCATTCAGATGGATCTGTATCGTACTGACCTTATTAAACCAAATAGATATTGTCAGACCAAAATGATGAATCCACATAAACTATAGCTTCTTAATTACTGTCATCAAATTCAGTGTTACCAATATCAGTTTTATTTCAGCAGGTCATACTTCCATCATACAGAAATAATCCTATGCTGTGAAGTACACAGATTTTAAACTCAGGATTATATGTGTACTTGCTATCAGCAGATACCCAAGCTCAGATATCAGAAACGGTATCAGGAGGAGGAGAACAAGTTAAATCAGTACATCCCAATTCTAAATAAAACCCCAAAGTTCAGCTTCCACAATGTGCTTTGTGTTGGCATGCTAAACACACAGCTTTGGAAACAGTAGAAAGACGTGGAAGTACAGTGCTGGAATATATAATGAACAACCCAACACCTTAACCTTTGAGAACAGACACATGATTGTTAAGTATGGATCTATACAGAACCCTTCCAGTACAAGTACACCCTGTGTTACTCAGAGTTGCAGGAAAAAGGGAAAATGACTAGGGAGAGTGTAGGAATGCCACTGAGCAGGTTCAGTAATTGAGATTCATCCCCCTCAGCAGAAAAGCACCTAGGGTGGTCAAACTGATTTGACTGTGTAATCATACTCATATTATTTGTGGACTTTGAGATTGATATTATTCCTCTGAACACAGCACCAGATACAATAAATCACATGTAACACACTTAGCGTGTAGCCTCTACTTAGGAAGTAACATGAATGCAAAGACAATATACAACGTATACAATCAATGTTTTTACCATATAGAATAGAAAGTAGCTACTAGCACTGTATTTCACTACTTAATTGATACCTGTAACTTTGTAGTAGCGGCCACTGCCTCCGCTAATACCATGTTATTACAGCTCACAGCGGAAGTTAGCCAACAAGTCAATTTCCACACACATTACTCAATCTATCAGGAAAAGCAACGAAACGCACCCCACAAAGCTAGGGTGGATACCTTTAGAAACAAATTACTCTGTTGCAATACTTTTACTGTGCCAAGTGTAATGATACGCAGCTAATGTTAGCTAAGCTAACTGGTTAACGTTAATCGCCCACCAAACTCTAGTGTTAGCAACATCTATTGAAGGACATTACGCATATTCGACATACAAACAACATCCGACGTTAGCATCACACTTACCACTCTGTTCCCCCAGAAAGACCAGTTTAAACTTTCTTAAAGGGTTTCCAAAGTCCCCGGCCGAAGACATGACTGAAAACTGACGATACTTCTCTCCACAGCTAGCCAGTAGCTAATGCTAGCTAACCAGCGGTTGTCAGATATCAACGATAATCAAGATGCCGGGTTGTCAACCCTCTACACAGGCCACCTGGTGATGTGTCGTGCTCCAAAATCCTTACTTTCAGCTTTCAGGAACTTTTTGATAACTCACTAACTACTGCGGCCAAGTTACCATTCCTGTCAGTTGTCTGACATGTCTGGAGCAGCTACCCACTCTGGGCTACTTTCTTCTTCTTCATACACAAAGTTGACTGTGTTCCGCATGTCAGCCTTATTGTTCTGCTGCCCTCTGGTGGTGGAGGATACATCAGATAAAGGGGAAAAGGTGAAACCCTTTAGCTGAACAACGCACTGAAGAATGCAACAAGAAATGACAAGCTTTAAATCATGAACCACCTGTTTCCATTTACGCATGTATAGTGTACAGACATTAGGACCGAGGCATAACCAAAAGAAGCAGCCTGAGAATGAAGCGTGTTGTTTCTCGACATTTCCACCAGGGGGCGGACCCACCCCACCACCTAACAACCTTTATATTAATCTCATAGATTATTTACCTACCTATGTTGTGGTAATGATTCAATTGACCCTTTATTTAATTTATATTTTATGAAAAACGTTTCCTCAGAATGGTCTTTTAATTATTACATTGACTTGAAACTGTTATGCGGTGTATCCTTGCCCTGTATACGTCTAGCACTTATAATAGTAAAGCATTTGCATATCAATTATATTATTCTATCATATTGTTCAAACCTACTATTGGACAGGAACGTTTATATGTATTGACACTCCCCATTTGAAAATATTGAGCAACACCATGTGGTGTTGAAAGACTGCTGCCTCTTTTTTTCATAGCATGATTTGGAGACATTCCTGCAATAATGTGCACATACATTCTTCTAGCCGCTATATTATTGCCAGGTTTTACTTGCAATGCTCTGAACACCATCCAACTGCCATGATTATCTTTGTGAATTAAAATAATAATCACAGTTGTGGGTAGCAGTGTGTAGGTGTGAAAGTGGAAGTCTTACTTGTCAGACACTTTTTAAAATTGGATCTTGCTGTGATGTTTACAGGAGCTCACATTCGATTGCTTATGACCTCAACAGACAGCTGCTGTCCAGAAGGTGAAAGCCCTCAATATACAAGGTGACTTCATTTACCTGCTTCAGCCAGAGACAAACCAACAAATTAACAACTTATATTGACTCTATTCATGATCAATATAATACTCATTTTATTTGACTGATAACAACTTGGTAGAACAATTACCTTAAAATTGTGTGACACATGTTTCTAGTGATGTTTTTCACATATTTAGAAATATAATAATATTTTTAATAATAATAATAATAATAATAATAATAATAATAGTTGCCTACCAATCCAAAGGATTCAAATTGAATTTTTCTATTTTTCTTTCACTACTGATGTTTATTCAGCACAAGATAGAACAGATGCATGATGATATATCAGGGATCTTGCTGAGGCATTTACAAAGCCAGGGTCTGCTCTTTCATTCACACAAAACCACACTTGATCGTAATCATACTCACATTTATTAATAATCACCTCTGGTTTTCATATTTCATCAAGTGTCCTTGTTGTGACGATAATGCCACTCTTGCATAACTCTTAATTAACATTGCATGTATTTAAATATTGATTATTCCGACAAGATACACATATGGGACACACAGAGTATGTTTACTTGGCAATCTTTAAGAGATCAAACTAAAAAGAAATTATATATATATAAATATATATATTGGTTCCTTGCAGAATATGGTAAGCATGTCAGATTTTACATTTGCAATTTTTAGAATGCCCTGAAGAAACCCAAATATATATATAAAAAAAAAAAATTAAAGTACCACTTATGTTTCCATTGATGTTATTAATCATGCTGCTGCTTTACAATTGTTTGAGTACAGTATGTGTGCTTTTTGCATGCTAGACGCTGGCTGTTCTAGGTCACTGCCGACACACCTGCGCCTTCTTTCTCTCACTCATGTGCTATCCAGCTCTGAACTCTCCTCTCCAAGAGCTGGCTGCTGATGCGAGTGCTTCAGCTGCTCTGCTGGTGAACCCAAGCCTCGCCAAACGAGAGCCCTCACACTCCACTGCACCGCCCCCCCCCTCCCGGCTCTCCCCAACAGCACTCCTACTGTACCATATGTCCTTGGTGAGGGAAAGACCCCAAGTCCCCCCGCAGAAGATGCTGAACTAACAAAATCCTCTTTCGCTCTGTCTCCCCCACTCAGTCCTTTTATCCCACACACACAGATGCAGAAGGATTTTGCATTTCTTCATGCACACACACACACAACTAGATAGATCGATTACACACTAATGCACAGTAGAGGTTGTTGGGTAAGAGCTGTGAGTGTGAATTTGCCCACCTTGATGCTTGTTGTTTTCAGAAATAACACAGCACATCTTTGAGGATGTTGAATTTGTATCAAATGTTTCCAAATCGCCCCAAAGGCATTCACCTTATTCAGCAACAAAAAAAACTGTCAGCTAAAAAAGCATGTCATGCACAATCAAAGGAGTATGACTAAAAGGAATTGCAGCACAAATGAATTGAACTTGTCACCCCAAGCCATGACTTCATTCTAGTGTGCTGGTCTCATGTCATGCCACTGCATCATTTACTTGACTCAGTCTTCTAGATGGGGAAACCTTGCTGTGACTCACAACCTGGAGGGGGAAAAAAACCCTATGCTTTTTTTCTTTTCCCGTTCGTGTATTTCCTGGTGTCTTTGATAGAGATGCACATGAATTCGTCTAGGTGTGTGAGCACGTTACTAACACTCCATACATCTGCCTTTATCTCTCTGTGTAATGGAGGGAGACCATCCCGCTTCCACACCACCTTAATATAAATCTAATGAATGCAGCTTTCAATGTCACAGCAAAGTACAATACAGCGCTCATCTCTCCTGAGAGGGGAGAGGGAGCACGGGGGCTGTAATGGAGGATGGGGGGGAAATGGACAGAATGAGGCACTGATATAGAATATGAGGAGAGGAAAAACAGGACGGGCGTGAGGGTTAGGTCAGGGTAAAATAGGTGTGTTGTCCTCCCTTATAAGATGGAGAAAGGGAGGAGACAGATGGGGGATGGGGTGGAGCAAAGCCACAATTCCCCGGTAACCCTCCTCCTGGAAGCATGGGCCGGATGATCTATGACAATGAGTGGGGAAAGAGAGGAAGAGGTTTATTGAGTACGGGAAACACCACCAGGCTTACAGACTGAAAACAAAGGATCGAAGGGGACACAGGGAGACAGGGCATGAAGCACGCTTAGATCTCAAATGCCCTTTTTTCTGTGCAACATCAGGCAGGAACAGACACAGCAGTACGGTGGGAGGCATTCTTGCAAGCATAAGTAAAGCAGCGATCAGGGTAGCAATCCAAGCACATTTGCCAGAGGAGGGAGGGTGGGAGGGGAGGGAGGGAGGGAGGGAAAGCAGAGAGAGAGAGAGCAGATCTATGAGAAGAAGAGGAGGGGGGGTGTTGCATGCTCGCAGAGTGTGACAGAGATAGAGCGATTCCATGAGCGAGAAAGAGACACAGAGAAAGAGAGGGAGAGCACAAAGCAGAGATGGGGACCGAGCACTGAGATAGGGGGAGTTGGTAGGACTGAGATCTGCACACAAACGTGAGTAAAGGAGAGGAAGGAGGAAGAGCGGGGAGGTTGAAGGAGAGCAGGAGGAGGAGGGAAGAGAGGGATGCAAGATGATGGAGCCCAGAAATAGTCATCACAGGACAGCTTTTCATCCCCGCTCTCTGCGGCAGACATGACTCTGGGCACTGGACTGTGCAGAAATTAGCCAGGGGGACAACACAGGACAGCAGGTCTGCAGCACACTGCCTTGGTTCAGCCTCACTGGATGCAGCAAGGCAGCTGATTTATTACTGAGAGGCTGGGTGGCAGCGTGTGTGTGTGTATGCAGGTTTTTATGGGTCCTTGTAGCGCTCAGGGCTGTGGGAGCGACCATTCCTCCTGTCGTAAAATGACATTCAGCAGGCAGGAGCTTGGTGTGCTGGTGTGGATCTGCAGTCCTCAGTAGGAAGTGGAAGAGTGGGATTCCTAGCGGTCTTGGAGTGTGTGTGTGTTTACAGTGCTGTTCACTGAGGTGAGCCAAGGAGGATCAGCTGTATGCAGCGTGTGTGTGTATGTGTGTGTGTGTGTGTGTGTGTTTAGGTTAGAGTAGCAAGGCTGCAGCAAAGGCAAATCTCCTACACAATGCAAGGACAAGCACAGAGCAACACTGATGGCAGGGAGTGCAGGTAGAGCACAAGGAGCGCCCTGGGGGTAGGGTGGAGGACGAAGGCAGGGACAGACGAGGAAGAGGAGAAAAGAGCAAGGGGACGGGCAGAGGCAAGTGGAAAAGAGAGGGTGATCATGGCTGTCATACAGTGAGCTATAGCATATGCTGTAGCGCAGAACAGAGCGGTGCGGCAGGGGGAGGACAAGCATCACCGCGCAGGGGAGGGGGAGAAGGGAAGGAAGAGACTGAGGGAAAGAGGAGGGGGAGGCAATCAGCTCAGCACCTCTCCTCCACCAGGAGGAGAAGCACAGCGGGACAGGCCCAGGAAAAGACACTCATTCTCACACACACAGTCAAAGACAAGCGGCCAGGTCAACGTGTAGAGGTCAAAAAGGAGCTGGTTCTGGGACGGGGGTCGGGTGCACCCCCCGCTGGTCCGGAAGGTCCACAAGAGCGCAGGCTGGTCCTGAGAAGAAGTAGAAGTCCTTCGGAGGAAGAGGGGTTGGCTCCCCAGACCCTGTTTCTTCTGAGAGCCCTGCCACCTCTCCATCACCATGGGGGAATGGACCATTTTGGAGAGGCTGCTGGAGGCGGCTGTCCAGCAGCACTCTACCATGATCGGAAGGTAAGGCTCTGATGAGTTTTGTGTGTAAAGGTTATATTGTCTGGTTCTGTTTATACTGATAAGCTGGGTGTCTTAATGTATGTTTTCTGTATCAGTTGATGAATCCCCCTCCTCAGGCTTGTCCCAGTGCTCTCCTCTGTTCTACAGTCCCCCACAGTCATCACTGCCTCCCCCGTCCTTTCCTCCCCCATGCTCTCCTCACCGTTACCCTCCACAACCATCATTAGTTAAGAGATAAACTAATTGCATATAATCAATATCAGGCTTTACTGGGCATTATGGTTAATTCTGAGAGGTTCTTGTGTTGATACTACCTAATAGCCTAG